GCTCATGTGAGCTGCTTTGGCTGGCAATCTTCAGAGGGTACCACATCCCTTGAATACAGTGGAAGCTTCACATTCGAAACCTCACAGATTGCATCCCATGCATCTCTTCCTTAGGCTGATTCTAATTTGTATATTTTCTCTATAATGACTCTTATCTATTAGTATAACTGCTTTCAGTGAGTTCTGAGTCTACTGAATTACCTAAACTGGAGGTGGTTTTAAGAAACCCCAAACTCTTGGATGGTGTCGGAAGTGAGGGTGGTCATGTACAGACTCTTACCTCTTAATCTGTAGTAAGACCCTAGCCCCTTGGAGTTGAAGTCAGAAGTCTTGGGAAGACTTGGCGGTCTGAAAGACTATGCCTTTAACTTTGCAGTTTGGGTAACTTCAGGTAAACAGTAAAAATGTTTAAGCTGTGGGTAACAATTAGACAAGGTACATAATCTAGATTCTAGAAGGATCACATTGGTTACACTGGGGAGAATATGTCATAGAAGAGTAAGACTAACAAGAGATGAAAATGACAGTGGGACTGGAGAGGGACATATTTATGTGATTTATAATGCAAAATTAACTGAATGGGAGGAGTGACAGGAGGAGAAATCAGGGATGGACCCACCAGAAAGAGAACCAGGTTTTAGTTTTGTTTGGGAGGAGAGAGTTGGAGTACTGAACTCAATTTTGGACAGTTTAGCCCTGGCTGGTGTGGCTCAGGGTTTTGAACAATGGCCTCTAAACCAAAAGGTCACAGGTTTGATCCCTGGTCAGAGCATATGCCAGGGTGGCTGGCCAGATCCCCAGCTGGGGACACATGAGAGGCAACTGATGGATGCGAACAGATCAATGTATCTCTCACACATCAGTGTTCCTCTCCCTCTTTCTTCCTCCCTTCTCCTCTAAAAATAAATAAATAAAATCTTTAAAATTTTTATTTTGTATAGTTTAATTTGAGAATCATTTTAGACATCTAGGTAGAGTTGTTCCATTAGCTGTCAAAACAAGGATTCTTTAGAATCAGGAGCCATCAGCATAACTACAATTACCAAAGTCAAGGGACAGATTGATACTGACTACAGACAAGTCAACCAGACTTGAATGGTCAAGGACCAAACACCAATATTAAAGTAATAGGCAGTGTATCAAAAACTCAGAGAATAAGTGGCAGCCTGAGAGGCAGGAGAAAAACCTGAAAAGTACAGTTCACATTGAATGGTTGGTATTTACTTTCTTCTTTTTCACTAATGTCATTTTCTCCACTTCTTAAAATGAACATTATATGAAAAAAGGTGTAGTTTTAAATGAGTATTATAACTTGCATCTATATATTTTTCAATTTATATATATAAAAGTGAAAAACAGTTTAATGGTTTTCTGACCTATCTCAAAGTCATTAATGATTCACATAGCTCAAATATCTGAATTATTAGTGTCTCTAATCAATGATTTTCTTTCCCAATCCTTTTTTAAAGCACCCACCCTCATTACTACTGTAAACCATCTGGAAATATTTAACTTTGCCAGGCTGTTGAGATCTCTCTCTCCCCCTTGAGAAACCCAACCCAGACAAGTGCATCACTGAGGAAACACTGCTCTAAAAATGTAATGACACGTAGCACTAGAAACAACTTGAGAGTATTTGTTTTTTTAGGATTAAAATAAATAAAATTTATCCTGAGTATAGTTCGGAAATATAAAATACACAGTACTGACCCATATAATAATCTATACAAGTAGCCTCAACATCCACATCTGGTATGAGTTATAATTTTTTAGTTGCAAATTATTTTAAAGATATAAAATATCTCATGACCTCCTTTTCAAGGAGATTTGCTCCCTGATCTTAGAAATCCTAATATTATGTCATTAGAATATATTTAATTATTTTTCTTTCAAAATGTTAAATGTCGTTATCTAGCAGAGGAAGATCTAAGTACACATTTCCCATTCTGATGACTAAACCAAAACCTTTATCCCAAATACTTCTCAAAAAAACTCTTTAAACTTAATTATAACTATATTTTGTCAGTTTAAACCTTGATCCTTTACTTATCTAAGTAACTGCTTATCTCAATCTAGTCCTGAACTTTGAGTTTACCAAAATGAAGAATAATAAATGTATCTGCTGTCTTATTCTAAACTTCTTTTGAGAAGCAAAATGTTGAAAAAAATTTACTATATTCTTTTGAAAGTAAATTTGCAACCAATGTATTCATAAAACACTATTGAGAAGATAAGCACCTTTATTTTTTCTTCAGAGAACCTCAGTCCATTCAGTGCTTACATATTGTGCATTTCTAAAATATTGAGAGAAAAAACACACTAGATTTATGAAACTGACATTACACATAGTGTTAATTTCTTCTTACATTAATGCCAACTATCAACTTGGTGAATATATAGTTCAGGTAACTTCACTTAAGAACTTTAGCACCATTTGACAAGCAGGACAGTTTTTAAAGAATATTAAAAATTCCAAAAAATAAAGAGTGGGTAAGGTAGTTGAGAAAATTTTTTGAAAAACAATCTTCACCTTCCCCAAACAAGCAATTCCAACATATTTCTATTCAGAGTTTAATTTGAGAATTATTTTAGACACCTAGGTAGAGTTGTTCCATTAGCTGTCAAAACAGGGATTCTTTAGAATCAGGAGCCATTAGCATAACTACAATCACCAAAGTCAAGGGACAGTCTGATACTGACTACAGACAAGAGTTATTTTAAAGTACTTCTTAGGAAATTTGAGAACCAAACATTTAAATATGTCAGGGAGAGTTTTGAGGTTCACAAATTATATTGAGAAATGTTAGAATCACTTCTGAATCTGGATCCATAGTTTTCTCATCTGTAAAATAAAGTGCTTGAATAGAAAATTATCTATCCCTACAATGTCTTCCAGTACTGATTCTTGTAACCAAGTGATATGATTTCTTTTTATAAATAAAAACTAAAAGTGTTAAAAGTGTATTTTTTAAACTCTGAGGGGTTTTGCTTTGTTTTGGGTTTATCTGTTAAGAATCCTTGAAGTTTACATAAACAAGCCAGCCATTTTATATATAAGAACAGGCTAACAGCCTTTGCAGAAAACACAGTATAAATGATGAAATCTCTGATTTAAAGTAAAATAGTATTTTCCAACATTACTTTCGCTAATTTTATTTCAAATCCAAACTTTATTCTCAATTACATAGCCATTTCATCATCTGAATACTTTTTCTAGTTTATACATGAATCAAAATTAATCTTGTTGCCCTCTGACATGGAAAAACATCTACTTGCCATCCCCTTTATATACTGTTCATTCTTTTAAAAACCTTGAAAGACAAATGTTTACGGTTGTTCTGAACTAATGACTCTTTTTAATGGACCTTCTCTAATGTTTAAATACGCCTTTTCATTCTATAAAAGCATTTGTAAAGGTAAGGACTGTCAAAATAGAATTAGTCTGATGCTGAGATAAATTCTTCCACTCTAGTAAACAGTTAAATTTGGTTTTATAGTAAAAAGTTTTAAGTGTCTTTAAATAGTGTTAAAAATGACATTTTATAAGCCCTTTTCAATTATAGTTTTCAAACACTAGGAAGACTTTAAAATGTCAATACTGTTTGTCTCTGGGTAGTGGTATTTATTACACGCCATTTTTTTTTCCACTGCCCAAAAAGCAGTATTACTATTTTGGTAATTGCTTATTTCAAAATTAAATTTTATAGTGTGGAACATCAACACATTTCACTTCTTCAGCGGGTATGTTAAATGCTTTTTCCCTATTGATAAACTTCTGCTTTAACAGGGAAAGTATTTGATCAGGTGTCTGTTAGGTTGGGTGAAGAGAAAACATTTACTTTCCTGGCCATTCTCTTAACTTAGGCTTTTAAGGAAATCCAGGAAGTGGGTATGAATTTAATTGCAGTGACTCCTGCAGCAATAAACTTTTGGGGGCCAGCATAACACCTTTCATTACAACTATCAGCAATACGGCAAAAGACTGCCAGGTTTACCAATGTTTCCAGAAGCTTGTTAGTATTCTCTTCTGTCACTATTTCAGAACAATTCCATTTAAAAAGAGATGCAATTGTAAACCGCTTCTATTTCAAGCCCATAAAAACCAGAACTGGGATGAAAGGCAAAGCCTTGACCTTTCTATTTTCGACTTTCATCTGTGTGGCTAAGCCATCTGCTTTCTCTCCCCTACCCCATCTACTTAATGGACTGAAAATACTGCACCTAATGGCAATTTCATTAAACCTGCCTCACTTTTCTACTTTAACAAATTAGGGCTTGATTTTCAGTGGTTTTGTGCCTTAAGGCTCGCTTGTAAAATTTTGCTTACCCCTACCTCCCACTTCCTTCCCACCTCCCTCAATTATGAGTTATCAAATATCTTTAAACCAGGATATTAGGCTCCGGTGTATTAAGCCACCTAAAGAGCTCTTCACTTTGAGCACTAAGCGCCTGGCAGAAAAATCGACTCCAGTCTCTCCTGTGGCTATGGGGCCAGTATCATCACTGTGGTTGCGGTTACACAGGATTCACCTCTCAGCTCAGCCTAGAACCGGATGGCGCGTCTCCGCCGCCAGACAAGAAGCACTCAGACCAGGGGGGAAAAGACCCTTGCAGGAGAAAAGCTCCGGGAGGAAGGGAGCTGGGAACAAGAAAGAGCTCTCAAAACTGGAAGGAAGGATAAAAGGATAAGCCTTCCGAGAAAGAGAAAAGGTTTGTGAAGTGGAGAAAAGAAGTGGGCGGCCGAGGTGCAAGGGAAGAAGGGGCTCGGCCAGGCGGGAGGGAGCGGGGCCCGGGGAGCGGCTCCCGGCCGGGCAGGAGGCACTGGGGCCGAGGCGGGCGTGGGCAGCTCGCCGCCGACCGCCCGCTAGAGTCTGAGCCAGCGGGGGCGATTTCAGCGGCGCCAGGCGGTGTGGGGGGTGAAGAGCGGAGAAAAGAGCAGTTTGAGGGGCCGACGCTGCAGGGACAACCGGCCCACCCCCAGCTGAGCCCCGCTACTTAACTATTTGTAGAGCTGCTGCAGGCACAGGTCCAGGCTCTCGCCCTCCACCTCCTCCAGGGTGATGCGTTCCGACAGCGGCCGCGGGAGCGGGGGCAGCGGCGGCAGCTGGGGCTGCGGCGGCGGCGGCACGGCCGACTGCCCCGGGGCTGCCTCAGCCTCGTCCTCCTCGCCCTCCGCCGCTGCCGCCGCCTCCTCCTCCACCTCCTCTTCCACAGCCTCCTCCTCGGGCTCGGGGTCTTGGTCCTGCTCTTGCTCCTCCTCCTCCTCCTCCGTCGTGGCTACCGTGGCCGCCTCCTCCTCCCCAGGCTCTTCGACCAAAGAACCCTCGGCTGCCTCAGCCGCTATCAGTTCGGGCTCAGGCTCCGACTCGGGTTCGGGTTCGGGTTCGGGCTCGGGTTCGGGTTCCGGCTCCGGCTCGCCGCCGCCGCAGGGTCCACGAAACTCACCCAGGAATAGCTCCAGGAAGCGCCGGTAAGTTTTCTCTTCAGGGATGCAGCCCGCCATCGCTGCTCAAGCCCCGGGGCCGACCGGGAAGTAGCCACGGGGAAGCCCAGGAAGGGGAGGGGGCTACTCTGGAGCCTCGGGCTCCCACGAGGGCGGTAAACCACCGCACCGCCACGAGAGATCAGCACTAGGTTGCCTGGAGAGGGCTCCCGCAGACGTGCGCGCCGCCGAGTGCGGACGTGCGCGGCCCGGGGGCGGGGGCGGAGTGCGCCTCCTTGGATCTGGAGGGAAAGTTAGTGGCGGGAGCGCGCTCAGGGTCCCGCGGAGGCCCACCCTCTAGCCCTACAGAGAGCTCAGCCGATGCTGCCTAGAGACTGTCGCCATGGTAACGGGCTCCAATTAAGAATTTCAGGGTCCCTCCCCTCGAATTCCCGGAGTCGGAGTCGAAAGGACACTTGAGTCGCCTGCTCTCCACCTCTGAATGTTTTTATTGTATGGATACCCTAGCTTCAAGTGGATGAGGTGAACTAAGACAATTCCAAGTCTAAATGTTCGTTCCCACTTTGATTGGACCTATCTCAGTTTTCTTTATCTGTTTCTGCCTTGCCTTAGGGTCTTTATCTGTTGCTACAGTGTGAAAGATGCTACACCTTTGTTGATGACATTCCTTTAATAAGTATTTTGGGGCGGTGGAGAGCATCAAACACATACCAAGTGGTAGATCCCTTTGCATACTTTTCATTTGATTCTGTGAAAAAAGTGGTCTTGACCTCATTTATCAAAAAGAGGAAAGCAGGATTAAGTACTCGCTTCTAGGTGTCAAAGCGACTAGCCAGGACATTGGAATAAGAATCCAGGTTGTCAGACTCCAAAGTGTTCTAGACTTTCCCCCCCTTGTCCTTTTCTCTGAAGATTCAACAGTGCAATATATCTATGAAGCCTTATTTTTATAGGGCTTTATAGTTTACAAGTTGTTTTTTGCCCCTGTAATCCTTGCAATAGCGCCTCAAGGTAGAAGACATTGCCTTTATGATTCCATTTTACAGATGAGGAAGCTGAGCTTTAAAGACATTGTGACTTTGCTCAAGGTCACACACAGCAATGCAAGAAGGAGTGCATCCTGATCTTTTCACTGCAAAGCCATTAGTGTTCCAGCACACCGCTCTTTAGTCTCTGCATAATACACATTATACTTTATCACATATGTATTTTTTCTACATTTTGTTTGTTCTTCTTTCTCATCTCCCCAGTCTCTTGTCTTTCTTAGATAGAAACTGAAACTTTAAATGATTCTAATTTTCTCACCAAACCTCACACAAACCTATTATTTTCAAGCCTTACTGAATGAGGGTTTGGGAGGGGGAGAAACTATGTTGTTATACAGCTGTGTAGATGATAGCATCCTTACTGCACACTGCCTTGTCCATGTAACATATAATTCACAACAATATAGTGACTCTTTTTCTTTGAAAAACATGTTCACCTCCATGTCAAAAAGAAAAAAGAAAAACATGTTCATAAATTATCCACCCATCCTCTCCATTTATTGTTTCTGGGTTTCAGTTGGATTTAAGGTCTGAAATACTATTTATAGTAAGTTGTTAATGGCAGAAGAAGGAGTCCCCCTTGCCAACTGTTTTTGTATAATTCTGTATTCTAAATCCCTGACCTGATACTGTTATTTTAAGATTAAGTGGGTTGAGCTCACTAATGTACATTATGGCATCATGTAAAATAAATGTCCATTCTCTCTCCCAGTTTGAGATTAAATAATACGTGATAGAAAGTTTATAGTGAGTAATGCATGAGTCCTCTATAACTATTTTTGTCTCAAAGGTAAATGGAAAGACCCAATAAATAAATCTGTTTCCAGACAAGCTAAATGTATTTATACATGTTTTGTTTAAAATAAAATATGCACTAGTGTAGAGCAACTTCTCTGAGATGCCAAGAAAATCTTTAAGCTCCCCATTTGTGATTGTTTTCAATCCACCTGTCCATTTCCATTTCAGAATGTCTAGAAAAGACTGACAAAAATTCTAAGACTGCACACTTATCCCTGGCCAGTGAGGCTCAGTGGGCTGGGCATCATTCCACAAACCAAAAGTTCTCTGGTTCAATTCCAGATCAGAGCACATGCCTGGGTTGTGGGCCAGGTGCTCAGTTGGGAGCATCCAACTGATATTCCTCTCCCTCTCTTCCACCCTTCCCCTGTCTCTAAAAATAAATAAATAAAATCTTTAAAAAAAAGACTAAAAATTTAAATGTCCACAATTTTATATTGCAACAACCATTCAACATCTCAGAATTTGACATGATGACATTTAGCTCGAGAGTACATAGCTTTCAACTATAACAATTCACATCAAACTACACCTTCCTACTTTGTAATGTGATTGCCTTCCTCATCGAAGTGACATTTGTGACATTAATTTATGACTCAACCCACATATTGAAGGAAAGTGTTATATGTTGGGAAAACATTACTACTAAGAATGAAAGAAAAAGCCTACACCTCTATATTACAATAAATGAGAGGTGTGTTTGCTTATATTAATAAAGATATTACTTCACAAAAGATCCATCCTAGTGCATCCATTTGACGGAGCAGCTTTGCCAGAAAGAAGGGTGCTGACAGCAGTGCTGGGATCTCAGAGCAGCTGTGTAGGATGATGTTCCCATTGTCAAGAAGTCTTTTTAGTCATTATTTTGCATCGCTTTACTTTTCAGTTCCTCTCCTCTCACACTTCCCTCATTCCCTTTCTTACTATCTGTTAAAAAATGTTGAGCTATGAAAAGCATATGTTATCAAGGGTATTTAAATTTTTTGAGATTTTTTTCTCATAATAATTGTTCTTTCTCTAACCTGTAGCTCTTTGGAAGAAATGAACAATGTCCTTTCATGGATATTTATGGTAATGATGATATTTGTAAGTTTCAAAAGAACAATGTTTGACAGTTTCTTATCATATGACCCAGGAATTCCTCTCCCAGATATTTACCCATGAGAAATGAAAACATGCCCACCAGACATATACACACCACAAAAGTACTTGTACATAATGTTCGTAATAGTTTTGTTCATAATAGCTCAAACTTAGAAGTAATCCAGATAGTTGTCCATCAATAGGTGAATGGATAAACAAATTGTGGTATATTCATACAATGGAATACAGCCTAGCAAGTTTTAGAAATGAACTAATGATAAACCCAACAACATGGATGAATCTCAAAAACATGCTGAGGAAAAAAAAATCCAGGCACAAAAGAGTACACACATACTCTATGATTCCACTTATATGAAATTCTAGTAAAGGCAAAAACTATAGTGGCAAAAAGCAGATTAGTGGTTGACTGGGACTGAGGTAGGGTGTAGGATACGTGGCAAAAGAGTAAGAGGGCATTTTATGGGCTGATAATGTTCTATATTTTGAAAGGGTGGTTAGTTATATAGGTGTATTGTCAAAATTTATCAAAATGTACGTTTAAGAATTGCTTTATTGATGGATTTTTTTAGAGAGAGGAGAAAGCAAGAGAAAGGGAAACTTTTACTTGTTTTTCCACTTATTTGTATATTCATCAGTTGATTCTTATGTATGTGCCATGACCAGGGATCAAACTCACAACATTGGTGTATTGGGACAATGCTCTAACCAACTGTGGTACCCAGCCAGGGCCTCAAAGTGTACATTTTAATTAAGTGTATTACATGTAAATTATACCTCAATAAAAGTGATTTTGAAAGTTAAAAATAATTTACTGCTGTTACTCCTTGTCCTTTTTGCTTTCATATCGATTCCTTCTCCTTTGTTCTGCCCTGTATTTTAAAGGGGACTGACCCTTTCAGGCTGTATTCACCAATGTTCCTTGAAATCAGCTGACTTTCAGATGAGATTTGCCCAGTGGGAGACATCGGCAGGAAACTGGAAAGTGGGAGGAAAGGAGAAAAACCAGGATATTTCTTCCCTGTCTCCTACCTCAGTCCTAATGCTTGCTGCATTTCTTCCACAGCTTTTCTCGCCCTGATCATGTCCACTGGGATTCTAGCTTTTGCCTGTGACACCAGCCCTTGATTTCTAGAAATGTCTTCTGTTTATCCATCAGCCTAGAAATGGTAATGGCTTCTAGCATCCTAATCTTGCTTTCTATGGACTGAATATTTTTGTTCTCTAAAAATTCACATATTGAAATACTAAACCCCAAAGAGATATTAGGAGGTGAGGCTTTTGGGAGGTGATTAGATCATGAGGGTGGAACCCTCATGAATGGGATTTAGTACCCCTACAAAAAGGTACAAGGGAGACCCCTCTCCCCTTCTGCCATGTGAGGACATAGTAAAAGGACAGCTATCTGTGAAACCACACAATCAGCCAGAGCCCTACTTTTGGACTTCCAAGCCTCCAAAATTGTGAGAAATATATTTCTGTTGTTTAAAAACTACCCAACCTACAGTATTTTTCTTATAGCCACCAAAAACACCTACTCACCTTACTTTTGGCTTTTTAGCTCTTCTCTCACTTGTATAACCAATCCCCTGGATTTTATTCCTTGTATTTTCTTAACTGAATCTCAATTGGTATAATAGCAAATAATACTTTAAAGCACTATAAAATAGATTAATATGTAAAAGAACTATAAAAGGATTCAGCTGACATTAAAGCAAGTTTAGGTCTTCAAAGGTGCTACTGGAACATTAGATTAACTTCAAATTAGTAGTAAATGATTTTCTAGAATAAAGTTACAAATATGTTGTTGGGGGCCCAAGGAGAAGGGGGAAAGGATGAATAGGTGGAACATGGGATTTTTTTAGGGCAGCAGAAACTACTCTGTATGATACCATAATGGTGGATATATATTAAGACATTTGTTGAAATCCATAAGATGGCCCTGGCTCATGTGGGTTAGTGGATTGAGCGCCAGCCTATGAACCAAAGGGTCGCTGGTTTGATTCCCAGTCAGGGCATATGCCAGGATTGAGGGCCAGGTCCCCAGTGGGGGGCGCATGAGAGGCACCACGCAATGATGTTTCTCTTCCTTTCTTCCTCCCTCCCCCTCTCTTTAGAAATAAATAAATAAAAGTCTTTTTTCAAAAAATCCATAGAATGTACAACACAAAGAGTGAACCCTAATGTAAACTATGTTCTTTAGTTAATAGTAATGTGTCAATATTGGCTATCAATTGTAATAACAT